AAGTGCTGGGATTACAGGCTTGAGCCACCGCGCCCGGCCTTCAAATGCTATTTCTTTAGGGCACTGGGGAACAAGCATTCTAACAAGATCACCCAGGGAGTAAACAAAGTTAAGGGAGAGGTCCAAAGGACTGAACCCTAGGCCATTCAAGTTTCCAAGTTAGAGGAGAAAGAACCTGCGAAAGACGCTGAAAGGGATGGCCAGTAGTAATGAGAAAATCAGGAGAGTGTGGCGCCCTGTGATCTAAGAAAAGAAAGTGTTTCTAAGAGGAAAGAATGAATAACTGGGTCAATTGCTGCTAACAGGTCTAGTAAAATAAATAGAGTATGAGTTTACCATCGCATTTAACAAGGTGGAGGCCATTGGTGATCTTCATATGAGCAGTTTTGGGGGTGATAGAGGCAAGAACCTGATTTGGGAGGTTTAAGGAGGAATAGGAGGAGAACTGGAGAAGAGTACAGAAAATGCTTTCCAGGATTTTGCTATAAAGGGAAAAAGGGAAATTGGACAATAGCTGGAAGGGGATGTGGGAGTCAAGAGAGGGTTTGTTAAACTTAAGAGAAAGTATAGCAAATTAGCACATTTGGGCTTTGTTTGTTTTTGAAACAGGGTCTCCCTCTGTTGCCCAGACTGAAGTGCAGTGGCACAATCTCTGCTCACTACAGCCTCAACCTCCTGGGCTCAAGCAATCCCTCCACTTTAGCCTTCTGAGTAGCTGGGACTACAGGTGCATACCACCACATCTGACTAATTTTTGTATTTTTGTAGGGACAGGGTTTCACCATGTTGCCCAAGCTGGTCTCAAACTCCTGAGCTCAAGTGATCTGCCTGCCTCAGCCTCTCAGAATTCTGGCATTATTTTACAGGTCTGAGCGACCGTGCCTGGCCAAATTATAGCATAAGTGAATGCTAATGAGAATGATCCAGTAGAGACCGAAAAACTCATGATGCAGAAGCAACATATCCCCTCGAGACTGAGACTCACACCTGCTTTCCTGACATGGATGTCCCTGACTCACCGGAAACGCAATATATTCAAAACTGAAATTACCTTCCTTCTTTTTTTTTTCTGAGACAGAGTTTCGCTCTTGTGACCCAGGCTGGAGTGTGATGGCACTATCTCGGCTCACTGCAACTTTTATCTCCTGGGTTCAAGCGATTCTCCTGCCTCAGCCTCCCGAGCCACTGGGATTACAGGTGCCTGCCACCACGCCCGGCTAATTTTTGTAATTTTAGTAGAGACGGGGTTTCCTCATGTTTGCCAGTCTGGTCTCGAACTTCTGACCTCAGGTGATCTGCCCATCTCAGCCTCCCAAAGTGCTGGATTACAGGCGTGAGCCACCACGCCTGGCCAAAATCATCTTCTTTCTAAATCTGCTCCTTCTTTGGTGTTGCTATCTCATTTGGTAGAAATTCTACTTAATTATCCTATTTAGAAAACTGCCGTATAGTAGTGTCTTCACGGTGAATGATAGTCACAATTTCATTATGTACTAAGTGAAGCAAGGGATTACACAGGGAGCTGTAGGTACCGAGGAAAGGGGTGTGACCAGACTTGAAGGTCAAATATCAGAAAGGTGAAGAGATACCAGACAAGTCAACATCATCAAGCTACAGCAAGTCCTCATTCTGTCCGAGGTGTTTGAACCAGAGTGACTCTATCTTGAATGGGGGCTGGGTAAAATAAGGCTGAGACCTACTGGGCTGCATTTCCAGGAGGTTAAGGCATTCTTTTTTTTTTTTTTTCAGACTGAGTCTCCCACCGTTGCCTGGGATGCAGTGCAATGCCGCAATCTCGGCTCACTGTAACCTCCGCCTCCTGGGTTCAAGCGATTGTCCTGCATCAGCCTCCTGAGTAACTGGGATTACAGGTGCCACCACGCCTGGCTAATTTTTATATTTTTAGTAGAGCCAGGGTTTCACTATGTTGGCCAGGCTAGTCTCAAACTCCTGACCTCAGGTGATCTGCCCACCTTGGCCATCCAAAGTTCTGGGATTACAGGCGTGAGCCACCATGCCTGGCCTAAGGCATTCTTAGACACAGGATGAGATAGGAGGTCTGCACAAGATACAGGTCATAAAGACGTTGCTGATAAAACAGAATGCAGTAAAAGTAAGGGAGGAGACCACCCCTCATATTGTCTTATGCCCAATTTCTGCCTCCAAAGAAAGAAGTAAAAACTAAAAGGCAGAAATGAAATCCACAGGCAGACAGCCCGGCACCGCACCCTGGGCCTAGTAGTTAAAGATCGACCTCTGTCCTAATTGGTTCTGTTATCTATGGATTACAGACATTGTACAGAAATGCACTGTGAAAATCCCTATCTTGGCCGGGCGCAGTGGCTCAAGCCTGTAATCCCAGCACTTTGGGAGGCCGAGACGGGCAGATCACGAGGTCAGGAGCTCGAGACCATCCTGGCGAACACAGTGAAACCCCGTCTCTACTAAAAAAATACAAAAAACTAGCCGGGCGAGGTGGCGGGCGCCTGTAGTCTCAGCTACTCAGGAGGCTGAGGCAGGAGAATGGTGTAAACCCGGGAGGCGGAGCTTGCAGTGAGCTGAGATCCAGCCACAGCACTCCAGCCAGGGCGACAGAGCGAGACTCCATCTCAACAACAACAAAAAAAGAAAATCCCTATCTTATTTCGTTCCGATCTAATTACCAGTGCAAACAGCCCCCACTCACATACCCCCTGCTTGCTCAATCAATCACGACCCTCTCACACGCATCCCCTTAGAGTTGTGAGCCCTAAAACGGACAGGAATTGCTCACTCGGGGAGCTCGGCTCTCGAGACAGGAGTCTTGCCGGTGCCCCTGGCTGAATAAACCCCTTTGTTCTTTAACTCGGTGTCTGAGGAGTTTTGTCTGCATCTTGTCCTGCTACAAAAGAAGTTGGTCAAAACCCACCAAACCAAGATGGCCATGAGAGTGACCTCTGGTCATCCTCACTGCTTATCATATGCTAATTATTATACATTAGCATGCTAAAAGACATGCCCACCAGTGCATGACAGTTTACAAATGCCATGGCAGCATCAGGAAGTTACCCTATATGGTCTAAAAAGGGGAGGAGGCCAGGCGCAGTGGCTCACACCTGTAATTCCAGCACTTTGAGAGGCCGAGGTGGGCAGATCACCCGAGGTCGGGAGTTTGAGACCAGCCTGGCCAACATAGTGAAACCCTGTCTCTACTAAAAATACAAAAATTAGCCGGGCGTGGTGGTGGGCACCTGTAATCCAGCTACTCAGGAGGCTGAGGCAGGACAATTGCTTGAGACCAGCCTGGCCAACACAGTGAAACCCCGTCTCTACTAAAAAATAGAAAAAAAATTAGCCGGGCGTCGTGGCAAAACCCTGTAATCCTAGCTACTTGTGAGGTTGAGGCAGGAGAATTGCTTGAACCTGGGAGGCGGAGGTTGCAGTGAGCCCAGACCACACCATTGCACTCCAGCCTGGGCAACAAGAGCAAAACTCCGTCTCACACACACACAAAAAAAGACTCTTCTCTGCCTCACTACACAAAATGCGAATCTCCATTATAGCACTCAATAGCTTTACATCTTCAGTGGGTACCTTGAATAAAGGCAAGGTCTTCCTTTCAAGCCATAACTCTCACCTGTCCCTGTCTCAGAAATTGTGGCCCTCTCACGCCAAGCTTTTCTCTTCTGTGCCTTTGCACCTTGTGGTTTTTCTGAAATGGTGTCTTTCGTCTGTCCTGGCTAAGTCCAACTCATTAAAGGTGGGCTTCGGGATTACTTCTGGGAAGCCTTTTTTTTTTTTTTTTTTTTTTTGAGACGGAGTCTCACTCTGTCGCCCAGGCGGGAGTGCAGTGGCCGGATCTCAGCTCACTGCAAGCTCCGCCTCCCGGGTTCAGGCCATTCTCCTGCCTCAGCCTCCCGAGTAGCTGGGACTACAGGCGCCCGCCACCTCGCCCGGCTAGTTTTTTTGTACTTTTTAGTAGAGACGGGGCTCCTGGCGAACACCGTGTTCGCCAGGATGGTCTCGATCTCCTGACCTCGTGATCTGCCCGTCTCGGCCTCCCAAAGTGCTGGGATTACAGGCTTGAGCCACCGCGCCCGGCCTCTGGGAAGCCTTTACTCAAGTACCCCAGAGCCTCCCAAGACTGGGATGGGGATCTTTGTATTTCTACTGCTCACTCCCTAACCCACCTCCAGGGGCAGGGACCACATCTTACTTTCTTCCTGCTTTCAGTGAAAAAAAATTTTTTTTTTTTTTGAGACGGAGTTTTACTCTCGTTGCCCAGGTTGGAGTGCAATGGCGTGATCTCGGCTAACCGCAACCTCCGTCTCCCGGGTTCAAGCGATTCTCCTGCCTCAGCCTCCCGAGTAGCTGGGATTACAAGCCTAAGCGACACGCCCGGCTAATTTTGTCTTTTTAGTAGAGACGGGGTTTCTCCATGTTGGTCATGCTCGTCTCGAACTCCTAACCTCAGGTGATCCGCCCACCTCGGCCTCCAAAGTGGTGGGATTACAGGCGTGAGCCCCTGTGCCCTGCCCAATGAATGTTTATCTGAAGAATTCAGTCTAACGTTTTCCAGCGGGCAAGCAGTTGAGTCAGAAATTAGCGCTTAGATTCTGGCAGGGCTCTGATTCAAATGCAAAATTCTTAAATGCCCTCACTTTAGTAGAGTTCTTTACAGTTTGCAAAACAATTCTCATACAGCTACTCTTTATGTCCTGGGACAGGCAGGAGTCGCAGAAAGAAAATGTTTTAAACCAGGAGCTAGAGAGGAACGAGAAAATCCCGGCATAGAGATAACACTTTTGAGAAAGGAGCCAACAGCAAGCATGACCTTGCTCACCAGAGAAACTCCACCCTGGCACCTCGGATCCCCGCCCGCACAGTCTGCGGCGCACCGAGCCCTCCCACCTCGAAGACTACCAATCCCAGCATGCCTCACAGTGAGTGACAGAACGCAGGGCATGCCGGGACACGTAGTCCCACCCTAGCACAGGAAAAGGTTAGAACGTCCTATGACGTCAGGAGGGCTCGGGAAAGGGGTTCGGAACCGGTCCAGGCTCAAGTTAAATCTCCCTCTAAAGAGCCGATCCTGGTTTCTTTGGCGACTCGGTTTTGACTCTAAACAGGTCCCGCTCCACAGTCTGGGCGGGCCTATGGTGTGTGCTGAGTAGCCTGTAGCGTGAAAACTTCATGGTTAAAAGGAAAGTACTGGAGCCAAGAAATAGTTTTCGAGACACTGGTTTGTTAGAGTAGTGGTACGTAGGGTGCCGCCCTAAACGGGGGCTGAGACGCTGCTTTTTCAGCAGCGCCAGTGAGGACGTGGCAAGACTGCCTCGGGCGTACGCTTCCTCTTCCTCAGCCCGTCGGGTTAGGGGCGCGGGAGGCGCAGAGGCTGCTGGGAACGCGCATGCGCCTAGCGCGGTGGGGAGTCCACCTTTAACGTCCGCGGGCGCGGGGTGTGTCGGGTGTCGACGGCGGCGCTTTGCGGCCGGTCGTGCGGGTCGGGCGCGGGCGGGCGCGGCGGTAGTGGCGCGCACAGGTGATTGACTGGCCAGCTGCCTGAGGGAGCGCCGGGTTCTCCTCGCTGGCAGGTGGCGGAGCCCATTGGGGCGGCGGTGCAGACCGCGGCGGCGGCGGCGGCGGCGGTCTGGCTCGGGAGGCGTTCCTGGGGCCAAGGCCATGGCCCCGCGGCTGCAGCTGGAGAAGGCGGCCTGGCGCTGGGCGGAGACGGTGCGGCCCGAGGAGGTGTCGCAGGAGCACATCGAGACCGCTTACCGCATCTGGCTGGAGCCCTGCATTCGCGGCGTGTGCAGGTGAGGCCCGCGCACCGCGCCTCGCGGGCCCCTTGCGCCGGACCTTGGAAAGCCGGGGCGGGGTTGGGGGAAGGAAGACGGCCAGCCCTTTGCGTGCATTTGGGAGGCGCGGAGCCGAGCGAGGTGGAGTTTCTCCTTTTGCGCCGTCTGCGCGACCTGGGAAACGCAGCCTTCCCAGGCTGTGCGCGGAGGTGATGCTGGCCAAAGCACTTTAGGAAGGTTTGGGTTCCCATCCAGAAGATGGCGGTGGAGATGAAGGCAGGAGCCGAGAGCTTAGCAGGCGTTGATGACTGGGGTATCTTGGCCACATCACGGCTCTTTCGTTTATGAAAAGGAACTTTGAAAGTGAGCTTCATCACAGTGTATCTTGTTGGTGTTGACACCGAAGGCCTGATCATCTTAGTATTATTTTGGAGAGGGCAGCTTTAGAAAAAACTGTGGTCAGCCTACGTCATCGATACCCTGCACCCCCGTTGACCTTCCCTCACTCGTTAATCTAGTTTTTTTGTTTTGTTTTGTTTTGTTTTGTTTTGTTTTTTTTTTTAGCATTTCTTTGGTCGTTCTGGTTCGATACCACTTTACCGAGTACCAAGTTTGAGCTGTGATAGTGCTGTCCTTCACGTCTGCCCCGCCCTTGAACCTTCCCTTTCCTTTACCCCCTCTTGTAGATTGAATCCTTAGGCTTTGCTCCCATTTGTTCCTTTTTTTCCACCTTGTAACGCGGGAACTGTAGTTTTCGTTTCAGAATGTGGTTGAAATTGACTTGGCCAAGCCGGGCATGCTCAGTAGCCGTCTTTCGGCAGGCATTTAGGAAATGCTTTCTGCAGTTTTTACATTCCGCTGGGGGATCCTGAAGGAATGGAAGTATGGTCTCTGGCTTTGGAGCTTAAAGTCTAGTCTGAGACGTGAAATAAGTTAGGGAGTTTCTGTAAAGCAAACGAGTTAAGTCCAAGCTCTGGGCGTGTGTCTCACAAGGAGGGTAAATCTGACTTTAACAGTAAGTTCTGGAATGACTGAAGTCTGTGTATAATAGAAATAATCAAGCTTCAGTCAGTTTCCAGACTAACCAAATAATGCAAACTCTTAATAGTTCTGGTTGTTTGTGAGCCAGGGTCTCACTCTGTCACCCAGGCTGAAGTACAGTGGCACAAGCTCGGCTCACTGCAACCTCCACTTCCCTGGCCCAAGCGATCCTCCCACCTCAGCCTCCCGAGTAGCTGGGATGAGAGGCATGAGCCACCACGCCCGACTCAATTTTGTATTTTTAGTAGAGACGGATTTTCGCCATGTTGGCCAGGCTGGTCTCGAGCTCTGGGCTCAAGCGATCTGCCCACCTCCTCTGGGATTACAGGCCGCAGAGCCATCCCAGCTGGGCACATAGGTCCGCGATACTTCACCGTATATTCTATACATATATACCTCTTTATTGAGACGGCTGTTTCGCTCTTGGGCGTGCTCAGGCTGGAGTGCAATGGCGCCGATCTCACTCGTCACTGCCAAACTCCCCTCTCTGGTTCAAAGCGATGCCTCTCGCTCTCAGCCCCCTGAGATAGCTGGGATTTAACAGGCGTGCACCCATCCATGTCTGGCTATATTTTTTCTTTTTTTTTTTTGGATTTCTCCTAGAGATCAGGGTCTCTCCCATGTCTTGGGTCCAGCTGCTGAGTCTCAGCGCGGGTGAACCTCCCGATCCGTACGCGAGTAACCTTTGTATGCTTGCGCTCCGAGAAGGTGCTGGGATTACACGGCCGTGAGCCCACGGTGCCCCACCCCCTTGGCATAGTAGTATATCCTCTTTTCCTTTTTTCTTTTTTTTACACATTTTGCCACCATCCGTGACGACGCTGGAAACACCTCTCACACAAAAGAATACCTCAAAGGCCGGGCGCGGTGGCTCAACCTGTAATCCCAGCACTTTGGAGGCCGAGACGGCGGCATCACGAGCGTCAGGAGATGAGACCATCCTGCTAACACCAGCGTGAAGACCCCGTCTCTACCTAAAAAATACAAAAAACTACCGGGCGAGGCGTGGCGGCGGCGCCTGTATCCCAGCCTACTCGCGGAGGCTGAGCCGGAGACATGGCGCGAACCCGGAGCGGACCTTGCAGTGAGCTCGAGATCCGCACTGCTCACTCCAGCCCTGGGCGGCAGAGCGAGACCTCCGCCTCAAAAAAAAAAAAAAAAAAAAAACAACAGAATACATTTAAAAAAATACTTGTGTGTTTTTAGTAGAGACGGGTCCGTCGTGTTACGGCCAGGATCTCGATCCTCCTGACCTCGGAATCCGCCCGCCTCGGCCTCCAGATGCTGGGATACAGGCGTGAGCCACACAGTTTTAAAAAAGGAAAAAAGAATAGACCCGGTGTGGTGCTCATGCCTGTAAGCCCAGCACTTTGGGAGCTGAGACAAGCCTGCCCAGCATGGTGAAACCCCTTCTCTACTAAAATACAAAAATTAGCCGGGCGTGGTGGCGGGCGCCTGTAATCCCAGCTACTGGGTGGCTGAGGCAGGAGAGAATGGCTTGAACCGGGAGGTGGATGTGCAGTGAGCCAAGATGGTGCCACTGCACTCCAGCCTGGCAACAGGGCCAGACTTTGCTCTAAAAAAAAAAAAATTTCTTATCTTGGCCTCTGTATTCTCTGCATGTTCTGTCCTCTAATTTCCCTCCCTATTCTGGACATTTTATATAAATGGAATCCGAAATACGTGGACTTTTGTGACTGATTTCCTTTACTTATCATGTATTTAAGGGTCATCCATGTTGTAGCATGTTTCAGCACTTCATTAAAAAAATACCTGGGAAATACATATAACAGTGTTTACCATCTTAAAGTGCACAATTCGGTGGGTTTCAATACCTTGATAGTGTTGTACAACCATCACCACTGTCTGGTTCCAGAACTTTTCATTATCCTAAAAGGAAACAGCATCTGTTAGTCACGTCCCACTTTTCCCCCTCCCCCAGCCCCTGGCAACTGCTAATCTACTTTCTGTCTCTGGATTTCTCTATTGATATTTCCATGGAATATTACAGCAATGGAGTTATACAGTACGTGGCCATTTGTGTCTGTTTTCACTTAGCATAATGTTTCCAAGGGTTATCCCTCCTGCACATGTGTCAGTACTTTATTCCTTACGGCTGAGTAGTATTCCATTTTATGGATAATGCCACATTTTATATATGTATTCATCAGTTGAGGGACATTTTGATAACTTCCAACTTTTGGTTATTTTGAGTAGGACTTCTCTGAATATTTGCATGCAAGTTTTGGTTTGAACGTCCGATTTCAGTTCTTTACCTGGGAGTGGAATTACTGGGTCATACACAGTCAATTCTGTGTTTAACTTACTGAACCGTGAAACTTTTCCACAGTGGTTGCACCGATTTACGTTCCCACCAGTGATGTATGAGGGTTCAACTGCCTCATCATCCTCAGAAACACGTACTATTTTCTGTTTTTCTGATTAGGCCCTCCTAGTTGGGTGTGAAGTGATACATCTTTGTGGTTTTGATTTACATTTTCCTAGTGGCTAATGCATTCAGAGAGACGGGGTTTCGCCGTGTTAGCCAGGGTGGTCTCGATCTCCTGACCTCGTGATCTGCCCGTCTCGGCCTCCCAAAGTGCTGGGATTACAGGCTTGAGCCACCGCGCCCGGCCTCTGACTTTCTTATGGGAACTAAGCCACAGAACACGGTGAGGGCTGAAATGAGCTTCCTACAGCCTGAACTGGGAAGA